CACGACTGCTAATATATCACCTAACGATCGTTCGATTTAGGCTAAATAAATTAGAATGTATTCCTCTTTCCCCCCACTTTGGGTATGCTTAGCTACATTCTTAATGTTTGTCCGTTATTTGTCTCCCCCTCTCTTCCTGTCCTCGCTTGCGATGCAAACCCTCTGGAGCTCGTCACAGATTCGTCCCGATCTTTGCGTAGTATCTTTCTCGAATATCGGTTCTCCGTTTCGCCATGGACTCGTTTGCATATCCATCTATACTCCGTACCGTGCGTCTCCTCCTCTTGCAGACAGAGGACGTCATAGCCCGGTCCTCCTCTCGACACGTTCAGGTTCCGGTTAATCTCGCCAGGCTCTCTCTCTGTCCGGACCAGAAAGCACAATCGTCCTGATACAGGACTCGTCCCTATTCATTTTCTGGCTTAGTCGTCGCTACTTCGTCACGCTTGTTCTCGATCACCGTGATGGGCATTATCACGAGTTCTTAACCGGTTTCCGGCGCTGCTTCAGTCGCATCAATGGCGGCGTGCCGCCGTTTACCGCCGAATATAGAGCCAGACTCACTTCTTCCGGGTGAGACGACGCAACTTTTCGTATCCCTACGTTTTTCGTGCTTTGTACTTCGGACTCCAATACCCACTCGTCTGGCTCGCTGATTGGAAAGCAAAAAGGTGAGGCTTACGAACGAGCCACGCATCGTGGTGAAACGTATCGATTACTTACATGTCCGGGGGGTACCACCGTAATAAAACTTTAGTCTTTCCGTCCAATTCTACTCTTCGTGCTAATACCTACAAACGACAAGATTTATCACGGATCCCGATTCATCTCAATGCTCTTACTACACAGCCGCATTCAACCACTCACTTGACTAGTTAGGGCCATCGAATTTCCTGGTGTCTCCGCGAGACGACCTTGCGTCCTCGACTTTGCCAGCTGGAGTAACCTGTGCTGGAGACCCTCCATCACTCCGGAGTCGAAATAATCGAAGAGTCTCGCTATGGAAGAAAAGGCAAACACCGATGAATGTCGACAGGGGGTGTGCGATCTGATGTCGTCGGGGACAATATTTACCTGACCAAGGTTGTCGCCTGTATCGAAGACGTTTGCCGTTTCTTCTCACCAGCTTCCCACCGCTCTCGCAGCTCCGTTTCGCGTTATTGTTGCTGGTTTCCGGTTGATTGAAGTGCCCGTTCACGTGCCTCTCGAGAGCGGTCTGTAAAATAAATTCGGCTCGTTATGTTCGAAAATACGGTATGCGGGGAGCGGTACTTTCCAGGGAAAGCACGGTCCCCGTGTATATTGGACAGAATGATACACGGGTATCTCTAAGAGCGTGGACTTCGATTTCGCGATATTCGCGTGGTAAGGAGGGTGGGTAACGTTAACGAACAAGGGATGAATCGTAACGACGATGAATCTACGCAAGTGCGTCAGTAGCCAGAATAATAACACGCACGAGTCGTTTTCCGAAACACGACGTGAGAGAAAAAAGGAGACAGCGAGAGAGACAGAGAGACAGAGAGACAAAGAGAGAAAGACCATGTACAAGAAGAGAGCTCTCGCCAGGGATTGTTGCGGGTGGACAGTTTTACTAGCTGTCCCTGGAAAATATCCGCTTTCGAAGACAGTCTAAGACCGGGCAACCACCGAGCTATTGCTTCGACCGCACGCATACGCGTGGACAGAGGCGCGCAGTGGCGTGGTGTACCTGGTAACGGTTAAGAAGACAAAAGACGACAGCTTTCTACCAGACAACACAGGCTCTGTTCGATAGACTCGAATTATCGACAAATCGAAAATCAGACCAAGTCGTCGATGTGGAAAATGTCCTTTGATTCTTAACCGGCACGAATTCGCTTACGTTCTACGAGATCGCAAACCAGGGAGTACGTCCGGTTTCGCTCGACAATTTCCAACGAGAAATTCGGCACGAGAGATCGTGACAGGGCCAGCAACGAAAGCGTAGTCCCTCGTTCAGATACCACAAAATACATTACCCAACGCCGGCAACATCGGGCGACAACTATACGACAAAACATCATCCGCATCTGTAGTACTCGTAAATGCTCGTTGAACGCTTGATAAAACAGGAAAAACATGTTTCATTAGTTTTCACAATCACGGTAATCGTCGTGCTTAAATTTAGCGCATAATGCCTGATGACGGAAATAGGTCCAGGGATCGTTTAAGCCGTAGAGGAATAGAGCAAACGTTAGAATATGATCGACACGGTCACGAGAGAGATACGTAAGCGTTCACGCTCTCGTCACACGTGCGTATTCCGCAAACGTTGAATCGAAAAAGTATCAAGCTTGTGGCACGCCACAACTTCCATGGAGATTTCTGATTTTCAAGCCAGTCTCGAGATGAATGAGGCAGACGAATGAATGGAAAGCTCCGAGTAGTATCCATCGCAGCGACGCATTCTTTGATTATGGCGTGGCTGTGCGAGAATGTAACGACAGGAGACGTTGCACAGTGCTAAATTTCGAATAAACCAGTCGACTTACGCTTCTGCACTAACGACACCGTATACGGGTCGCATCTCTAGACGAACAATTTAAAAGAAATACAATGGAATCCAAGCGATTTAACCCATCACAGAACTCACAGTACGTATGTAGAAGTCGCGAGTTAGGAGAGGAGAGAACGCAGGATTCGACACAAGCGTACCACCAGAGATCGATCTCAATCGCGAAAGGGGAATCGGTTCCAGTAGCAGTCCAATCGAAAAAGTTGTGATCCTTGCGGCTATCATCGTCCACGACGCATTACCTGAGAGCTGAATCTGCTGCCACAGCCGTCGACTATGCACGGGAAGGGTTTGTTGCCTCCGTGAGACAACACGTGTCGTTCCAGCCACCTCCGCGAACAGGAAGTCCTCCCTTGGACCTTGCAGCCTTGCCACTGACACACGAAATTGTCGCCTCCGGTTTGCGTGTTGATGTGCGCTACCTGCAAGACGTTCGTACACGTTAGTGCATGCAAGTGAGTTCTACGTCGAGGCCAAGGACCACGACACGTCGCACGATGTTTGCAACGAAACCGTATCCAGCGGATACTCGGTAGCCATGAAGGTGTGGCAATATCGATTACGCGGCGAAAAAAGGAAAAGAAGGAAAAAAAGAAAGAAAAGGAGAAAGAAAGGGAAAAGAAAAGAAAACAAAAATTAAGACTGCAGGAGTTTCGTGCGAGGAGTGACAACAATGTAACTGAAAACTGCGAAACACTATACACGAGCTTCGTTAATTCCGCCATATGCTCGAATTACGCGATGCATCGGACGAAAACGCTGCGCGGCAACCATAAACGCCAGCGCGATGTTAACCCTCTGACTGCCACGCCGAAATCACACGTTTCGCTCAGCACGCCGCGTGAGATGCACCCGCAGATGCAAGATTTCTCCCAATATTTTTTTGACGTTGTAATGAAAATTTTTAATCGTTCACTGGGGCATCTTTTATTTCAAAGTATCCTCTAATCAGCGGTCATGTTCAAAATGCATCAACTGTTAATTTTCATTCGATGTTGTTCAATGTAGTTTAAGTAGTTCAAGCGTTCCGGTCACCAATGACCACCCTGGTGTCACGGGAAAAACCGTGGCTGGTCGTGTATGACCAACGTGGCAGTCAAAGCGTTAACCCCTTCCCGTACAATGACGAGTCTCACTCGTGATGAGGATTTTGGTCCAAACACGAATATCACGAGCCAGACTCGTGAACACGAGGTCGGCCCAAACACGAATATCACGAGTCAGACTCGTTAAGAGAACATTTTTCTCAATACAGTTTTGACATTGTCATCTATTATAAAATATAACATATTTGTAACATTTGTAGAAGGGAAAAGGATTAAAGTTCACTCCCCGTTGTAAAAACTAAATAGTAAAATAAAGTCTACGTCCTAACGATGCGGGGACGACCCCTTCTTCTGCGTTTTGTCTCGACGGTTTGTAACCTGCGTGAGCCTAAACAGACAGACCAGTTCTAACAATTCGCCCGTTTAATAAACATCTATACAATTTTTCTATCGCTTCCACTGACTACTATTTCTTTACGTTATAACCCCCTAACACTTGCACAACAGCAGTATCGCATAAAACTGATTATATCGCGCGTATTTACATTTCGGCTCGTATTGCGAGTGTTTTCGAGCATCAGTCTGGTCTGTGTACCGCGCGTTGACGCCTACCCGTTTGGGCCTGGAAGGGGTTGCAAGCGAGGAAGCAAGGCGAACGTCGCACCTGTAAATGTTCTAGAAGCTCGCTGCTGGACTCGAAGTTCTCGTCGCACTTGTCCCATCGACAGACCCCGCTATCGGTACCGTGTTGCCTGTCTTTCTCCGGTTCCCTGGCAGGAAATCGTATGGTGGTTGGCGCAGAGAGTATCGGCGATAGGGGCGCCTTAGACTCGCTACTTCTCGAATCTTCCTCCTCTTCCTCCACGTCGTCCTCGTCCGCTGCTCTCACCTGTCTCTCCTTACCGTCATCGGTATCCTCGGTCACGGATAACCTCGTGAACGGGTCCTGGCTGGTCTGGGACCTCAGCGAACCCAAAATGCCGCCGCAACCGTTTGTCAGGTTGTTGTTCTCGTTAACGTGCGGCTTGGATAGAATGCAACCTTTAAAATCGAGATTTGTTGTCTCGTTGGTGAGAGAAGGAGTCGGCACAGACGTTGGCGAACTGTTTTTCGCATTGGAAGCTGCTTCCGAAGTGGTTAACCTGAACGACAATGATACGGGCGATTAAACGATGGGGCGTGAAACGCGTCCAACTTCCCCCTACGCTGCTAGGATCCTCTTGTGAAAGGCTAAACGAGGCTGAAATTGATTCATACAAGACAACCAAAAAACGATAAATTCACTGAAATATTTCTTTTTTTGGCGTACCTCGAGAGAAATGTCCGTTGGACTGTTATGAGCAAGAGTATCGAAATTCGCAACGATCTGGACGAACAGAGGGTTATTGCGTCGCTCGTGTATGTCCGGCACGCAAGAAAGCGCGCGGTTGGCCTACCTGAGTGACGAGATCTTGCAACTCGGTATGTTCTTCAGTACGTCGTTCGAGATGGGTAAACTGGGCACTGGCTTGGGCAACTTCTTGTCCATCTTACCATTGGTCCTCGGTACGATCACCAGCGACGGCTTCTTCGTAGGTGGTGGCGACATTGTCATCGTTCTCGCTTCCCAGTCGTTGGTCGACGTGGTTCGTCCGTTCGGCGTCACGGTACCCAGATACTTGGCCAATCCGCCCTTGTTCCTCTGTACCGTGGGCGGCCTCCGAAATTCCGTCGAGCTCTTCGCCACCAGCACGGACATGGCCTCGCTGTTCTTCTTGATCTGTCGACAGGATCAGTCCCAGCAAACAGAGACGCGTGAGATAGAAGGTACATCAGAGAGACAGAGTCGCGATATCGAAGCGTACGTGTATGGCGATTACCTTAGGTTGCTGAGGTTTGATTTGAGTCTTGAAGTACTCGGTGATCTTGCCCTGAGACTCGTGATGATGATGGTGACCAGCGTTGGGTTTGCCACCGTTGGACTTGGTGGTACCCCTGAAGCTGGGATCCGCGGCCCCGGACCTCGGGAGGGTGCCAGCCTCGGGCTCGCCTCTGAGCCTCTTGTAGGTCGAGCACGCGGTGGCCGCCAACGGCGGGGTCCAGGGCCACTGGGGCCTGGTACTGATCTGCGAGGACGGCGCCAGCTTGGGTAGGGACGGAAGTGGACTGGCAGACGCGCCACGTATCGCTACCCCTTCGTCGCTGCTGGTGCTGCACGGGGAACCCGGCTCCGTGATATCGCTGGTACCGCTGCTGCTGCACTCCCCGCAGGACACGGCCACGCCACTGAAAAATCATACGTCACCGTTTTAATCGTCAGACCGTATTTTCCCGCTCTTCTCGTTCGTTCGCATCGAGGGAAAAGGATTTTCCAACGAGCGATCGTTTAAAGCCCACTCGGGCAGCGTGTGCGCTCCTTCTCTCGAGCAGAGGCAAAAAGGTGTCGAAAACTATCGAAGGAATGTTTGATCGCGTCGTGGAGTGTCGATTCTTACGAGTGTTTGTGGTCGAAAGGAGTGGTTGAGAAATCTCGGTTGGAGCGGGTTGGAAGGAACCGGTCCGGGAGAGGACGGAAACGGCTACCAGGGAAATTGCACGCTTACCGGGTAATGGTATTACCAGCAGCGCAAACCTAATTACAGGGTCAGACATTGGCAATTGGCCCGGCGTTTGGGAAGGCCGCCACCAGTGCCACGAGCCGTACGGCTCGTTCATCCTTGCCGATTCGGTGATTTGCGAGCAGCGGGTGAAAAGATTGCGGCAACCAGCGGAATTACACTCGGGGTGTCCCGAAACGCGTCACTTTCGCCCAACACGGCACCCTCTCCATTTTTCTTTTTCCCCGTTCCCCCATCGCGCGCGCGGAGGCACCGCTTTCGAGGGCAAGCAGAGAAGAAACTAAGCTAGATAGAGAAAAAGGTGGCAAGGGTGAAAGAGGGAAGAGAACGGTAGCAAGAAGTAGGAAACTGGCGCGGGAGGCGGGATGAACGGAGCACGCGCGAATTCCCGATTAGTTGGCGAAACGGAAAACCTTCTCGGGTCGGTGCGTGCACCTGCGTTACGCGAACGCTATTGCAAAAGCAATCGTATCGCATGCCAGAGTAGTAGTTGGCGTTTCTCGGCGAAAAAGAATGCTCGCTGGAATGAAGTTCGCGCTCGGTTGGAACGAGGATTGAATTTACGCGCGCACGCAACATCGCGCCGTTTCTGCGGCCGCGAGCAAATACCTCCTTCTCTCTTCCTCCGCCTGCCATCGCCCGCGTCCGCTTCGTTAGCAATAAATCTACGCAGCCGCGACTTTGAACGCTCTTGTTTTACAGCGGCAATTAATTTACCGCCGATCAACCGCCTCCTCCCGTTTACGAGATAATTACAAAGTATATAGCGGCCGAGCGCCGATCGCCAAGAGACTGCGCGCGCGAGTTCCCTCCAACTGCGCGCGGTTTCCACCCCCCGTTTAGATCGGTGCACACTCGCCGCACAGATCGCGATCTATGATCGACAGAACCTCCTGCTAGGTGCCCGATGTCGACCGCGTGCAATTGCATCTCGTCACAGAAATCGAGATCAGAATCGACCACCACCCCCTTTCTAGAGATCGCTCTATGCTCTTTCGATTCACCCTTCCGAGGGGCGAAGAAGGGCACGAAGTCGAAGGAACGAACGGGATAGGGCCATTAGGGCGACGAGGGTCGGGTAGAAGCGAGCGTCGGCGTGATTTCGCGCAATTTCAGGCGATTTCGCGCGTCTCGTCGGTGACCAGTGACCGAGACGGCGTAAATTCTCGGCAACGATAAAACGCGCGATTCTAGTTGGGCGGGAAAAGGAGGAAGGGACGGAGAGGGAAAGGAGGACGCGGTTTGCTCGGTTGGCTCGGCTCGACGGTGCGCCGCACTCGATGGTTTTCGCCGCGGCGGATATTTTTGGAGGCGCGTTCGTGCCGGGCCGTCGACGTCACCGGAGAAAGAAAGACACTGACCTTTCCACATTACGATTCCTTTCCGACATTGCGTTTACGCAACGACGCGCTCTGCCGGCCGAGGACCGGAGACCAGCCGAGAGAAACGGAGTCGCGCGGTCGTTCGTTAAACTCCCGGCCGGCCGCTGCTCAATGACGGTCATTGTGCCATCAAACTCCTTCTTTTATCGATTCTCCGATCTCTTTCGGGTCGAGAGGGCCCTCTTAAACCGACCGACCGTCGCCGCTGCTCCCGCCGCCGCTGCCGCTGCCGCCGCCATTGCTGCCGCGGTTCCTCGTCTATACCTGGATAGTTTCAAGCCCCGTTCCGACCCGCTCCGAATCGCTCGCCTCTATTCAAAATCTCGCGTCCCTGCCTTGCGAGTGAAAGTTTGCCGACCGATCGAGAATCTTTTCTATTATCCCGGCTATCTCGTACGCGGCTACGGTCACGTCGCGGCGCGCGTTTTCGCGTCGCGAACCGGACGGAAGGAGAAGGATATACCGCGACGAGGAAGCATAGAATCGCAGGGTCGCGTTGCGCGAGAAATTATCGGATAGCTGCGTCTCGTCGCGCGAAACGAAACGCGTTAAACGCGTTCCAAGCGTCGCGATCGCTCGTACGCTCCGCGGGGCTATCCGGATACCGTGCAACGCGGCGCTAAGCGATCGCGCGAGACCTAACCTAAACCGCGACGTCGACGCGTAGACACGGAGAGAAACGGAGAGAGAAACGCGACGTGGACGATTGCCATTCCGGCGAGCCCAGCACGCGTAAAGTTTTCGCCAATTTTCCGTGCCAGGCGTATCGCGTGCGACTCCCGATCGAGAGATCTACGCGGCGATAGGATCGCGAGGCCAAGTTCTTGCGGATCACGCTACGTCGATTATATTGTCCTTGCAGGTGGCTCCTCCGCTCGGAGGTGCACCAAGGCTTCCACGATGCTCGCACACACGTATCCCCCACGTTTCCATCCACTCTACCGAGCCATTCTCTCTCTCTCTCTTTCTCTCTCTCGCTCGCTCTCTAGCTCTCACCTCGCGTATCCGCTCCTCTCTCTTATTTTCCCACACACCGTTTCGCCAATGTTATCGTCCCTCTCCGTCGTTCCTGGGTCAGCCTCTCTTCGTCGCACTTTTACGTACTATTTGCCAGCCAAGTGCACGTTTCACTCTCGGGATCTCTTGTCCACTTTACCGCCGCTCTTTTCCCTCCCTCCGTGCCCCCCTCCCCCCCCCCGCGCCCCCCAGTTTTCCGACCGCCGAAACATCTGTTCCCCACGACCGAGATTAACGCCAGCGTTCTCTCAAAGGAAAACGCGAAAACCCTGCACGCGCTCGTTGCACGCCTCTTTCGATTTCGTACATTTCTCGATCCTTCTTCCTCCACCGCGAATCGATCCAACGGTCGAACGTCGACGCGCCGAGACATTTCCAAAACAATGGCGCTCGTGTCGCTCGACACGCTTCGCGGTACCGTTTAGTTCTCCTTTTCGCGAGACAAAGCCTTTTGTACACCTTTTCCGAGTCCGATTCCGGAATACCGAGACGATTCCCCGACACGGAACGCGCATTCCCCGTGACTCGGATCACCGTGTACACGCGAATACCGACTAATCGGGCGATTCGCTTACGCGTCGCTCTCCCGTTGCCCGTTTATTATTATCGGAGAATTCTTCCAACGATTCCGTCGCTCTTTCCGCCCTTTTATTCTTCCAACCCAACGAACAACACCGCTCTCGGTTCCCCCTCTCCCGTCGCGCATCCACTTGTTTAGCCTTTCTCTCGCTCCCTCACTCACTCTCTCTCTCTCACTCGCTCTCTCTTTCTCTCTCGGTCTTTCGTGTTCCTTAATTCCCTGTGTCGCGGCCCCTCAAACCCTCGCGGATAGCTCGTCGCCCCTAAGTTCGTCCGAAGTTTTCTTCCTCGCTCGTGAAACACGCTCGTCTCGCTCCCTTCCGCGACTAGATCGCTGCATCCCTCTCTCTAGCCGGCCCCCGCGCGTCCCTGCGGGCCCGAATTCTCCATCACCGTCCTGGCTCCACTCCGGCGTCCTCGTCCCGCCACGGCCTCTTAGAATTCCGCTACGTCGCTCTTTGTTCCTCTTCGGGAAATCCATCCTTCTAATTCCTCCGCGTCCTTCGCTCTCTCCCTTTCTCGATCCTTCTATCGTTCGCTTTCTCGCTCGTTTCTTCGCTTCCCTCTCCGTTTTCCTCTCGCTACTCACTCTCGCTAGCCCCCCCCATCCGCTCGTCCTTCTCTTTCC